AATTGTATTCTATATGATTTCATCGCGTACATAGCCACGATTCGCATAAAAGGCGTCAAGATTCCTAAAGTCTTTGATTTTCAGCCTAGCACTTTAACATTGTATGTGTGAAAGGCCGCTAGTAAGCCGATTCAACTATCTAGTTCCTATGCTGTTTTCTATCAAGATGAAGAGGAAAGAACGTGAATCAACTTTATGAGAGCATAACTGCACTTATATAGCTTCGATCAATGGAAGGTTCTAGAAGCGCGGCGGCACAGCCGCCGTCCAAAGCGGCTTGCCCGTTACACTTACGACGTGACTGTTAACTGGCAGAAGCGACGAAAGAACACTAGGTATCCGGCGCCAATGATCGTTGGAGTATCAGAGTCGATGTCTATATAACCAAAAAGCTGTCAAGATAGCTAAACTATATCCTCATTGCGCTGAGTTGCCGCATCTTCTTCTTTAATGTCCTTTTTGAGCTTGGCCGGGTCCTCCATCTCCTCCAATGTCTCTGGCGACATCGCTTCTATTTGTTCTCGCACTTCGGCAAAGTACTGATTCACAAGCTCTTGATGTTCCTTATCCTCTGAAGTGTCCGGCTTCTTCTGAACCGGCTTTTTCTCCGGCTTTGGTTGATCTCCCACGATGTTTAGACGCCAATCGCCCATGAAATACAAAGCCCGACAATTGTTGCCGCAGTACTGGCCATACTTCGACAACTTGTAGGCATCGCACTATAATTGCGGTTAGTTATGACTAAATTGTCTCTAGCCTGTATTATATATATTGCACAACACAACTTACTTTGCAACTCCCAAAGTTGGCCATCGGGATCCCCTCCCCCGGCTTTTCCGCGCCCTTCTCTACCTTTTTTATCTCTGCTTGCAGAGTGGCACAGCGCTCTTTGATGTTTTTGGAAGAGCCCTCGCCCCCCAAAGAGTCCGGATTCGTCTCAATATTGGAACAAACATCCATCAGCTCATTCAGCCCCCTCTTCCATTGAAACTCCCCGTATTGGTTGCTCTTGAAAAATGCTTTACACATCCTATCCGAAACGTCGCTCGCAGCCGGAGATCCACCTCTCATTTGCGGATATGTCCAACTCGCCTCTACATACGCACACGTACAGACAAGCTTTTCTAGCTCTCCGTTTTTAGCTGCGTCCTCAAAATCCTGGTTGAATTCATCCGCTGTAGAGGTGCAAAAATGACTCTTCCGGCCTTGAGCAATCTCGGACTCTTCTCCTCCTTTAAACGCACAAATTATCCAGGCTTTCAGTTCGTTTCCGTCAATATCACTCCTCAGGGGGCCTCCAATCGCCTCCTGGACAGAGGCCATCGCATCGTCAAACCAGCGCACAGGTGCTCCAACAGGGCTATCCTTGATCGCTTCGAGTAACTCTCTCGCGTGCGGTGCCAGCAGACTGAAAGCGGCTGCCTTGCCAACAGCCTTTGTCAACCCAATTCTGCCCAACTTATGAATCGGTCGACCGAGGTTGCCGACGCTACTGCAACAGAGCTGCCTCTTCCTCTTGCATGGCCTGCACTTCTTCTGTGGTCCAAGAGGCGAGCCCGGAATTCTCGACACTCCGGTTTTGCCAGGCGGATACTTGTGCGGCGGCTTAGGCAAGCCTAGGCCAAAGGGCATTTCTCGCAGAGGGGGTTTGGGGCTCGAAGGGGGCTTGAGATTCGAGGCTGGCCCCCAGCCCTTGATGCCGTTGACTATAAGATCTTGAATTTCTTTGATCGGCGGACCTGGGGGCGGGGGTGTTCTGCCGACAATGCTTTGGTGTGCGCAACTCAGTCCGAGAAGGGCAAGTAAGGTGATTGAAATCTTCATGTTTTGAGTGGCACTGAAAACGAAGGCCTTGTGTAGGCGTCGAGAGAAATGAATGTAAGTCTTGTAGAGATTGGAGTTATAGTAGAGGCAAACGGCACACTTTTGTATTCTCTCGTCGAGGCGCTTCCATGTCGCGGCACCTCCGTGATAGGATCTCCAAGACGCAACGCACTCAGAGTATTAAGATTTTGGCCTAAATATCCATGAGTAATTGCGGCAATCTTTTTATTCAGTGTACTGGCGTGATGCGCAAGTATCGTACCCGTGTGCATGACTCGCGTCGGCATCTGTTGGCCATGAGACGTATTGTTAACTGAGCTTCTCAATCGTTCTTGTCATTCTTCTTCCGTCCTGCAGATAGGTTTATTCCTTTATACATGATAGAATTCAAATGGCTGGCCAGCCATCTATGCTCATCATGTCAGTAATCTTACAATTTTCGGCAACTACGCCGATTCTACTTGTATGCACCGCAGTTCAACTCTCCAGGAGCATGTGCCTTATTACCCCATTTCCTTTGTCCAAACTTGACCGACCACTCCACAAAAATTACACCGCATGAAGCACGTAAAAGCCGCCTGCGCACGTTCGCTCCGGGATAGCCGGCACGCATGACTATATGTAGCTTTGTATACCATCGTGTGTAAAGTTTAAACATGTTCAGATGAGGCTGAGGCAAAAGCTTGCCGTCATGCCCATTGTCTACCACAAGTATGGAGTCATCCTTTTTATGGATTGATAATGCATTCAGCTCAGACAGGTTCAGAGCGCATCTTGCTGAGTCGTTTCTGTGACTCATGCATTAAGCACTGTTCATGAACTGCGTTTTACTTTTCTCGTATTTGCCATAACCGCGTATAGTCGGGCATAATAAAATGATGTAATCATCAACATCTAGATCAGTATTATACCAAAGTTTCAAAATCTTACTTAAATGGTTATAAGTATAGAAACACGAAGTCACAGAAGTAATAAGAATTCTACAGTAGATACTCTACTAGGTCTCGTATGGCAGGAGCGAACACCGCGGTTGGTGTTCGAAGCCCTTAGCTTGCTACATGATTCAAGCCTTCTCCAACGAACTTTTAATGTAAAACGTCTTATGCAGAAGAACCACGCGACATCATGTCCCACAATGTTTTGCGAGTCAGACCCCCAGCCCTTACATTAATTGCTCTGTTCACGCCGCACTCAACCTCGACTAGGTCCATCTTGCGAGGGCAAAGGTGTGAATGCGAGTATATATAACGGATCTCTTGTTCCTAAGCCCAACCGCGCCATCTACAATACTATTCGCAGTCCTCAACCCTCAACTTTTCTGTCAACACGCACTCCTAGTTTCCCTACCGCACGTCTCACTTCAGACTCTTATACTAGAGGCTATCGATACAGTCGCCCCTCAACCTCACAATGGCTCGCATCGCCGCTGTTGCTCTTCTGGCCTGTTCGTTATGACTATCTGCAAATTCATCCATGTTGTTGCTTTTGACTAATACTTCAAGTCGCCGTATCTGCCCTGGCTGCCCCTCAAGCGCCTGAGGACACCAATGAACCAATCCTTGACTTTGAAGGCAACCCGTTATCCGAGGCCAAGCAAAAGGAGTTTCTTGAGCTAGATCAAGAGGGTCAAAAGAAGTATGACGAACTTGTGGCTACGTACACCAAAGAGCAGCAGGGCATACATAAGGAGATTCAAGTCATTAGTGCGAAGCAAGGCGTTATACTACGCATTCCAAAGTCCGATGAGAAGGAATCCGCACCATAAATTTGACCGCCAGGACGGCGCCGGACCTTCGCGGCTAGAATAAGTCCAATAAATCCAGTGTCACAATTCAAGCCTGCCCAGCAGCGCATTTGTCTCACGCACGGAAGAGGTCGATCTTCCAACTGCTTCGAGGGCTATGCGCTACGGATTGTATCAGCTGTGATATTTCTGAAGTCTACCAATCCAAGAAAACAGGTGGGATGAAAGCAATAGTCAAGGTACACATATACCGTCTTTCTTGAGGTCTCCCCTCTCTCCACGTAGAGACTTGAAAGTCTGCCAGAGGGTCGTCCA